ACAACTTTTTTGCCATTGGCAAAGTTTGCATAGAATAATTTAGTACATTCTTCTACTCAAAAAACACCTTTTTTGTCAATTATAGTTATCATCCATGATTTGATATTTTTGACTTTTTAAAAGTCAATAATCCTATGATAAAAGTTTTGGCAAATCGTTTATCAAAACTATATGCAACAATGAAGGCACAATTAGAGGAAGCTCAAGAATGATAAAAGATCTATATAGATGTCTATCACAAGGAACAACCATAATTCAATTTGGATGATAAGATATGGCTACTTCATTGCAATATCAAGACTACTTGTCCTTGTGACAAGTTGGACTATTGTAGGCTTGGACATTTATTTATTAATAAACAAGTCAATCATATTGCTTAACAATTAAATCTACCAAATTCTATGAAGATCCATCCTTTATTCCATGTGTCTTGTCTTGAGCCATATAAGACACTGAATATCTTGAGAAGAAGACAAATGCCACCTCTTCCTATAAAAGTGGATAATAATCAAGAATTTGAGGTGGAAGAAGTTTTAGATTCAAGGTGGCTCCAAAATAGATTAAAATATCTTTGCCATTGATACAAATATAATATTAATAAATATACATAGAAGCTAGCAAAGAATCTTATAAATACAACAAAAAAAATTGAGTTTTTTTATCGACAACATCCATCAAAATCAATATAAAGAATAGTAAATCTTTACTATAAAAGAAACAAGATCTAGGAAAGATAGTATTCTATCTTCTACTCTTGTTTGATACTTTTGTACATTTGTAATGCTAAGGAGATAGAAAACCAATAACCAGCAAATTCAACTCAAAAACTATCTTTTGTTGATTTATTAAACAAAATATTGTGATTGTTACAACCTTCAAGATAACATAATTGAGATGAAGATCTATAAGAAGAATATGTCCTTCCTCAAATACATGGCAAGATACAATGTATTTGGTATTACAATCTTGAAAGAGACTCTTGATGTTTAGTGATTTTATTAGAAGTTAAAACGAGTCTTAATGGTATTTCAAATGTTTTATATGAAAGAGGTAACGAAGGCTTCAACAACTATCAAATAATAGGTTGATCTTTTTGCCTTGATATAAAATACTATCAATGGTTGAAAGGACCAATCAACCATCTTCAAAGAAAATAAAGTTCAAAATATGTGACAAATATAATTTGCCACATCTTAAATTTTTTCAATATTTGATGACTGATCTTTATAGAACTTATCTATAGAAGGAGATGTAATGTCACAGATATACATATTTATTCTAATATTTATCTATATGATCAAATAGAAATAGATAAAAGTAGATATATTTTATAATATTTTTTAAGAAAAGCTTCCTAGAAGCTTCATAGATGTTGTTTTGACTTTACATGTGTTTGTAATTGATTGATATGTTAGAAACTTATTCAACAAGTTAACTATGTGTTGATAGCTTGTAAAAAAAAGATAAGTACATGATACACATATAGAAAACTTGCCTTATAAGTTAAGATATGTGTCTTCCAAAGTCAACATGTTTTGGATGTCATATAAGACACCACCACGTAGCTCCTAGTTAAGAATATATATAAAGGCAAGAGTGAAGCCTTCTTCACTCTTGTCAACACCTTTTTAATCTTTAGTCTTGTTTCGAGACTTTTTATACTAACGCTTCTTATTTTGGCAATAGCCATTACATACTATACCATCTTTGAATGACTTTCTAATTTTTTTGAATGACACAAGAGTGTATTGAGGATTTTTCTTCAAGCTTCATATCCTTGATACCTTAACAATATAATATAAATGATTTACTATTTATTTATATACGTTGTCTAAATAAACAAGCATTTTATAAAAATTTAACTTTAAACTTGATATATTACATCTTCTAAATCAACAATTCAAATATTTCTTTTAAAAAAATAATTTTTATTTTTATAATATGATTTTTTATTATTTAAATTTTTTTATACCAATCTATAGAAGTTTAATTTTTTTTGAATTAGATGGTATAATACTTTGTTAAAATTGCAAATATAATCTTATATATTTAAATTAAAAATTAATTTTAAATTAATTTTAAATTAGTTTTAATTTTAATTTTAAAAAAGATAAGTTTTTTTGGTACTATTGTAAGTTATTATATATATAAAGAAATGATAAAGCAACCTAAATTTTTACTTAAGTGACTTATTCTATCTTAAGCATCATTGCACTTTTAGAGCTTCTATCCCTATTCTAAGCCATTTTTTTGTTTTCAACTGTTGCTAAAGATGGGGGCGAGGGACTAGAAACTTTGGAAATGAGGACAAGAGTTATGAACAAGGGAACATGAGAATCGAAGAACAACTAAGAAGGGAGTGTGTGGATTTATTTAATAAAAATTTGTGTCGCTTTATTTTATTTTATTCTCTCTCTCTCTCTCTCTCTCTCTCTCTCTCTCTCTCTCTCTCTCTCTCTCTCTCTCTCTCGCTTTATATATATATATATATATATATATATATATATATATATAATCTAACTAAATAAAAACTTCTTACAAAATTAAGTTTCATAAAATTTGATTTCATGTAAATATAGGAATGAAGTATATGATAGCTATTTGATTACTACTTAAAAGATTTTATTTTTAGATAATATAAACATAATATAATATAATATATTTTTATTTAATAATAAGTTTTGATATGACTAATAAAATTTTTAAAACGATTTAATCAAATATTATTGACAATGGTTAGTTTTAATAGAAATTAACTAAAGAAGAAGAAAAAATAAAAAAACAAAAAATTGAATCACAAATAATTAATTTTTTTCTATAAATATTATTTTAAATCACTTTTAAAATTTTAATAATCTAATATAAAATTAATAATAGATTATTTTTTATTAAATTTATACACTCATATATTTTATTTATTAGCAACATAAATCTAAATAAATTTAAAAATAATAAAATACATATAATATGATGATGTATTATTTATATTAAATTGTGATAAGAATTAATTTTTTATAGGTATATTTTTAAAATAATTAATAAAATTATTAAAATCTTAATTTATATTTGATATGTTATTTTCTTAGTAAAATTATTTAAAATAATAAATTAATTTTAAAAATTCTATATTTTATTATTATTTATTATTATATATTTTTTGAATTTTTAAGATTAAGAATATTATATTAAATTTATTTTAATATCTTACAAATATTTTAATATGTATTAATAAATTATAAATATAAATATAAGTATAAGAAATTATAAGTTTATTATGAATATTAATTGGTAGTATTTTTAATTTATCAAATATATTTAGATCATCATATAAGTAAGTTTTTTTTAAATCCAACACATGCTTGGAATTGATTTATTTTTACTCCATAATAAGCCTACTAATGATATTAGAAAGAATATTAAAATTAATAAAATTATTTAAATTTTATAGTAGATACTAATTTTGTATATACATGATATACATAAAAATAATTAATAAATAAAAATTGATAAATTTTGGTGTTAGTGAAAGTTATAACATATAGAATAAAGTAAGATGCTTGTAATGTAAAAAGCAAAGAAACTATAAAGTAGAAGAAGGTTATAAAAGATACCAAACATGTGGTTTGTAAATGATCTTGAATGTAACATATCATAGATCTTGTAAAAGAGACAGTTTAAATCAGATTTTTGGAAATTTTTATATACATGTATATATACAAGTATATATACAAGTAAATATATATATATATATATATACATATATAGATATATATATAGATATAGATATATATATATAGATATAGATATATATATATAGATATAGATATATATATATAGATATAGATATATATATATAGATATATATAGATATAGATATATATATATAGATATATATATATAGATATATATATCTATATATATATATATATATAGATATATATATATAGATATATATATATATAGATATAGATATATATATATAGATAGAGATATATATATAGATATAGATATATATATATATATAGATATATATATAGATATATATAGATATAGATATATATATATAGATATATATAGATATAGATATATATATATAGATATATATAGATATAGATATATATATATGACAATGAATATAAGTTATTTATAACAAAATGAATCAACGTTTAATAAACAATAGGAACTTTAAAAAAAAGTTAAATAGGTTGGTAATCACTATCTTGAAGTAAATTTTTTATATAAATGGATTGATTTCTTGAAATTGGTGTACAAAATTACTAAACAAAAGAAGAAGAAGAAAAAAAAAAATTAGTAACTAATTGAACAACACTTGTTCAAGAGTACATCTCCTCTCTTTCTGTAATCAATTTTTCTGAAAGATAAACTCCTTTCACTATTATGAAGGTAGAAAGAAATCAACAAACAAACAGTCATGTTTGAAAATGCCACACAAAATTTGGGTGGCTAGGGTAGACACAGATCATGCATCGATTGGGAGCGTGGAATCAGTTGATGCAGAGATTTAGTGATACCTGCCAAATCGCCCAATGACTAGCACCTAAAAATCTGCTGTTAGAATGGCAGCATCCTCAAATGTATTGTAATTGATTCATCAAAATTAGTTGCTGGCATTACTGTCAGGAGTGTGAAAACTTTTGCAGCCCCGATTAGCGAAGGCGCGCCTGATATGCCTCAGTCTAAGAAATAGAGCCTGAGCATGTTCATCAAAACACATAGTATAAGAGCGATTCGAAACATGACTATTGTTTATCTCTAGAAGAGTGTATCTCTGAAGAGATCTCCAGAATGTGCATTTGTTGAAAATACACAGATCCTGCATAAAATGAGTCACCTGACCAACGACAGATTATCAGCACCACCTGCTATCACAGGAAAACCTGAATGACAAGGTTCTGCCAATGACTCAGTTGGAGTGTCTCGACTTTCTCAACAAACTCGTGCTTACCGAGATAAACTAGCAATGCAGAGGCGACCAACTGTTCATGGATCTTTGCTATTCTCGCATTACTTGTTATCAAAGTTTCAACAAATTAATTGCAATATGCTCAAGCGTTGTTGCATTAAGCACAGAATCAGAACAAATATCACTATGAATCAAATAATTACGACGTTACGAATGCCAAGTGGTGAACTCTACACCAGGCTAGGTAGACGCCAATTTTAGCCTTCTACATCTGATTACCTCAACTCGTCAACCCCAAATTCTAGGAGTTCGATGGGAACCTTGATAATGTATCCTCTGTTGTAGATATGCAGGATACTTTTGAAGAAGGACCAGCAGTCATTGGTCGATGATGTTATGAATACACGAATAACTCTTGCCAACACTTGCAGGTAGGAAAAATGAGCTTGCAAAGGAATTTTAAGTAGCCTCAACATGCCTACTATTTCAGGTATCACGGTCACGACGTCAAAGCCATCGGAGCCCCAAGTAGTATGGCTAATCCTATTTCAGCTCTTTGTATCCCAGTGGTGCCACCCCATTGGGTACTGTCAGGCAGTGGCCGGACTGAAGGGCGCCACTTGAGTCGGAACTCGGAGATTCAGAGGACCTCCTGCTTACATCAGTCTTGTTGCTGTCTTTGTAGGTATACCACTTAGCGAATAGTACGTAGAAGAATAAATTAAGCAAACTCAAGCCTGTTAATAACCAATAGAAGTAATCCATGTGGCTTTCGTTCAAGTTATTCCCAATCCAACCTCCATTCGAATCATACGTGATATTTGTAACAATAGATACTAAAAGACTACTAAGAAAGCTCCCAACCGCCACTGTACTTAGGTACAGTGCGTTGCCCAGGCTGCGCATGGATGCTGGGGCCTGGTCCAAGAAAAACTCCATTTGACCGACTGAGATAAACACTTCGCAGATCCCGGTTAGCATATACTGCGGCAGTAGCCAAAAAATGGTCATAGGTAAAGGCCCAACGATGTCTTTGCCAAGAGAATGCGCAAGGCGCAGGCGTTTCATCTCCACAAAAGCAGCAACGGTAATAGAGATCGTTGATATAACTTGCCCAACCCCAATTCTCTGTAACATTGTTAAGCCACGTTTGTCTCCTGTGATTCGACGGACGGCAGGTACAAAAAATTTGTCGTACAGAGGTAGGAATACGCAGATTGTTAGGGTGACAAAAAGAGGCATCGAGGCAGCTGGAATTTGAAAGTTTGGCCCCATTTGTCTGTTCAGAGTGGTGCCCTGGTTCAAAAACAGAGTGCCTACTTGAGCAAACACGGCGGAGAACATTAAGTTTGTCACCCAGATAGGGAGCATTCGAACCAGCAATTTTACTTCCTCCACTTGTGTCACTGTGCACAATCTCCACGGATCAGGCTTCATCAGTTCTTCAAATCTATATACACGTTCATGGGTCATGACTGGTACTGTGGCAGCTTTGTCCAAGAATCTGCAAAGAAGCAGACGGTAAAGCAGCTGTGATTAGGAAAACGATACGTTAAACATGGTCTGATCTACCAATAATGTTATGTTGCAGGATTTCAAGTTTATGTTGCAAATCAAAGTGTATTTATCACAAGGGCATCTCAAAGAACATGTCTTTTAGTAAGTCAATCATATTTCAAACAGGTTCATTTTTAATTGAGGAGTCTAGCGCCAATATGCCAAAAGGAACTCACACAAGGCCTGGAGTATGCCTCAGCAGTTTGCCAGGAGCCTGGGTCAAGGCTTCCTTGTCGTCAAGTTCACAAAGCAGCTCCGGATTGGTGGGCACGGAGACCCTCCAATTTCTAGCGGCCGAGACGAGGACTTGCGCAACTCGTGTAAATGGACTTCCTCCGCGGATGTGATGGGTTCGGTACAAGGGAGTACCGATGAAAAAAATCAGTGTGGCTAAACCAGCGATGCCTGTGGGGATACCATAACCCCAAGTCCAACCAATGGTGTCTTGCACGTAAACTAACAAGCTTACAGAGAGCATTGTTCCAAAACTAATGCTCACAAACCACCAGTTTGGAAATGACATTTTACGCTTTGCCTCAACTGGATCTGTAATATCAAACTGGTCCCCAGCAAACGCTGTCACGCATGATTTGATTCCTCCAGCTCCCATAGCCATCAGGTATAGAGCGAAGTAAAAGAAGCCACGTTGTAATTTCGTCGCTGGTCGACAAAACTTTGTGAGATCTGCTGTCAATCCGTTGCACTCTGGAGGCTTCAACGCTGGTAGTGTTACAGACATTGTAACAAAAGTGAGGGCCTGCGAATATTCGTCCCAATTGCAGTGTAAGCTTCACTTTTCGATGAAGTAAGTCAACAAGGCACAAAAAAAAATTCGTCGCATTGCGAATAATGTTAATATGTCAGAAATCGTTCGTCCTTCGACTAGATGAATTGATTTTCTTCTTCTATTTGAGATTCACAGAAGTGATCGAAGAACACTAAAGCACTGACATGAATGCTTAACGTCCTGCTTTGTTCAACTGCCAGACTGTGAATCACTTTCAACTCTTGAACACTCTGAATAAAATCTGCCACTGTAACCCACACTTACCAAGAAATATCCGCACAAGAATGTGCCAAGCGTCAGGTAGCGTCCAAGATAAGCATCCGCAATGAAGGCTCCGATTAATGGAGTCATGAATGTTGTTCCTGACCAATTGTTAACGTTCCTGGCGGAAACCGATATATCCTCGTGGAGTACTGTTGTGAGATAGATGACCAAATTGGATGAGATAGCATAAAACGCGACTCTTTCACACACCTCACAACCTGCGTAAGATCACAATACTAGCATTAAAGCAGCAGAATGGCGGTACTGGACACGATGATAGTGAAGGCTTGTGAAATTGATAAGCAGAACAGGAAACAAACATTCCGCCACCAAGACGATAATGTATTTTATGTGCATGACGTTTTCGAGCACTTTGTGTAGAGTTCATGTGCAATCTTCACGAGAGTATTCGTCATGCAATAATACAACTGCGGCATCCAGACGAAAGGTAGGGATGGAGCGACGCTACATGCAGCCAACAAGATATACTAAATGTTTCCCACTTCGGTTTGTTGTACTATTCATGACGTTATTGGAACGTTTCATCACACACATTTTGTGCAAGTCAAATTGCTCCATCTTAATCAGAAACTGAAGCACTTCATGAATTGGTTATGAATTTACTGTTCACCGTGCAGATTTTGCTTGCAGACTGAAATTATCAAGGGAAAGATAACCAACCAAATATCGGCCAACACGCTTTCCAATTTCCTGTTCTGGACTTGATAGAAGGACGTCCACGAACGTCCACAGCACCATCAGCTACGGTGATGTCATCGACTATGTCGTCTTTCACATGCTCCCTGCTATGATCTGTTTTAGGATCATAAGCCACAATAGAGAGGTCCTTCAATATTGCTAGCTCTGCATCACTGGATGCCATGTTTAGCACAAATTGCCTGTTACGAAGCCACACCACCCACTGTCAACGTCACTAACATACATTTCCCCCCTTCCGATGTACCCCATAGACATTCTAATGCTCATGTACGCCGCATTTTACACTGTCTTTATCAAGTTCGGTCCATATCAATGACAACTGTAGTAAATCATTCGGCTACACATCTACAATATTAATCAAAACATCGATCACGATGAAATGTCTTAGACCCGAACAGACCTAGCGAGTTATAATAGGTCTTGATGCGCTCGCTGGGCCTGGCAACTGAATGAATGATGGAGATGGACAACGCCCCTCGAGTACTATAAATCCTCACGATCAGCCCAGGGGAAATGGAGGGACCCTCTCTCAACGTAAGACAATGCAAGCACGTATGCACGGGACGCGGACAGCAGTCCCGCAACCGCGCGATGCAAGCAAGCAAAGACAAGCAAGGTGACACCACGTCGCACTGACGCAGGTAAAAAGAAAGGAAAATCTCATGAAAATTAAACATCATAAAGAGGTCTGCGTCACAAGCAATGCAAGCGAGGGCGCTGCCGGTTCGCCGCAGTCAGCAAGCTGGCCGTTCCGTTCCCACTTTCATTTGCTTGGACCGTTAATTGAGTGAAATTCCGGACCATGCTATAACTTCCGTTATTCCTACTTCACAAAAAAAAAAAAAAAAAAAAAAAAAAAAAAAAAAGAGAGAGACTTAAGCCTCTCTGAAGCCACCACGTCCTTCCTTCCATGGTCTAGAGACCGAGGCTGGAATGTGAATCCACCTTGAAAAAACGACTCCTCCTCCTTCCCACGGTTTACTAATTCATCACGCACTGTGTAGTGCAAGCGAGGGCCTCGCAGCAGCCTGGAGCGGTTAATTTCGCACTGCGGTGGTTGTGGCTCGCGCTTCGTCACGAGAACCTGGCATGGCATCCCCGGTCTTGCCCCCACCACAGCTTGATCCTCCCGACAGCTGCACCTCTTCACCTGGCCCTGATCACCACAGAGCTGTAGTACACTCTCATTTTTCACTCTCCCTCCCTCAACGAGAACCACCACATCATGAAAAAAACTCAGCATCACCTCCACCTTCGCCCTCCCCCCACCATGGCCACCTCCCACGCCGGTCTTCCTCTCCCCACCACACTACAACCAGAATCATGAGTCTCCGTCTTGTGCTCGGTGTGTGTTCGCTCTCCTCCTCCTCCTCCCTCCTCCTCATGGTACACCCGCCATTCGCCACTCTCATCATCAGCAATGTCATCAGCAGCAGCGTTGTCGTCGTGATTGTCGCAGCTTGAATGTCCCAGCCAGTCCTGGTTTCAAGCTGCTAATCACCTGCTGTTGATCATGAGTTAATCAAACGCATGTTAGCGTTTGTTTGCTGTTGTTGTTGCTGCTCCTCCTCGGGATTTGTTGAGCAGGGCTTGCTTAATACTGGGGCGAGGGTGCGGCGGGTTCTCATGTCTTGGTTTGTCAACCCTGTTGTGCCGTTTCACAGGGACTTGTTAGCTTTCTGAGCTTGGCACTCAAGGGTAGGTACCAGGTGCCCTATCAGTTATTATAGAATAGTAGATGATGATTCATGAAAACCAAATGATTCATATGTTGTCTTATATATTTATATATACACAATATATATATATATATATATATATATATATATACACCTTATGAGATATTACAAAGTTAGTTTAGATCTTTCAGGGATGTAATTAAAAGGAATAAAATATTGGACTATATCTTGTAATCATAAAATGGACATCAAAATCTCTAATTTTATTGATGATTTCCTTTAAAAAAAAGTTAAATATCCTCTAATTTTGAACACATTGGACATGTTCTTACTAAATGAAAGCAAATGATTATGGTAATATTTCTCAGATATTTACAACAGGTTTTTAGAGAATCTTGGTATATCAGCTCTTTCATTTGATTTTTATATTATTATTCATGTTTTTAATGTAGTTTTTAGTCTAATACACTTCTAGTGAACTTATACATAAACGGCAGAGGTTTAACTTCTATCAGCATTTTTGCTGTAAATAAATTCTATGTTAATATACATATATTGCACATGTAAACCCTTTCAAAAAACACATCAAAATAATTATAATAATAATCGTAAAATAAAATTTCAGCAGTGATTTCAAAAAACAATTTGATTAATGTTGACTACTAATATTCCAATGATTTGTATGTATATCTACTTCCATATTTTTACATCAACTTACTTTCTAAATATTAAAGATTGTCTATTTATGTGTATCTGTATACATGTGTATATATATATATATATATAGAGAGAGAGAGAGAGAGAGAGAGAGAATGTGATGCTTGGGTACTCATTCATTATATATCTAAGTTTGTGTATAAGTTGTGATAAATAGAAAAATTACAGAAGGTTTTATCATTCAAAAAGTTTTGATTGCACAACTAAAGAATGTAACAATGTTTAACTTATTTATCATGTTCTAAATTTGCACAAAATGTAGTCTAACCCAGCAATGAAATCAGATGTTGATATTTACTGACTTGTAGGATGAGCAAGGTTGACAAGACACACTGTTCACTTCAACCTATTTGTTGGTATTTTTAATTTTTTATGATTAAAGTTTTTTGAAAATAGATTTTTTCACAAATTAATTAGAAGGTTCTGAGTTTAATCAAATGGGCATATATATATATATATATATTCATACACACACTAAACTAATGCCTTTGACTACATGGAACTTTTGAAGTGATAATAATGTGGGTCAAGCCTTGCCTAGCATGATATGTGAACAATAAAATGGTGATTATTACAGGCTGCACAATGAACAACCTTTAACTTTAAAAACACTTTGTTGATTTGATGTTCATCCAAACAACATTTGAAATAATATTAGTGCCTATCATATTTCCAACACATTGTTGTTGTACATCACAATTATTCATAAATGATTAGCATTTTTAATTATTTAACCATTCCTTATTTTCTGGTATTTGGGCAGCTGATGAAATATCAAATTACAGAGGAAGGCAATCATTCTCTAATGAATACAATGCTCATGGACCTTGAGGCCAGCAACCCCCCCCCATCAGATGAATGATTTCGGTCCCATTGGATGAATGGATGAAAAAGCGTTGAAATGATACTATGATGAATTTATGAGCCATGTTGTGATGATCTAGCTTGCAATGCGGGATTTGTCCCTAATTCACATTAGAGAATAACCCCAATTAATTGCTTGATTTCGTTAGAGCCTAATCTTGATTAGGCCAGCAAGATCAAAGCAGCATGAACTTGCCTCAGCATTTCATGAGAGAACTCATCAGACTTGGCTGCCTGGCATGGGGAACACATTGTTTGTTTGTAAAAAGGTATGTGATTGCATGGTTTTGTAGAATAATCTCCAAGTTAAGTTTTATGAATGGATTTTTTCCAACAAGTTATTATCTGTAGGTAAGTAGTAAGGAGCAAAATTGTTTGCCCAAATAATTGTCTTTTCATTTTAATAAAAAATCAAAATGTGCAAAAGAGGTTACTACTCATAGTTAGAACACATCACTTTGGTCCTAAGCTCTTGGATTTGATTTTGGGTGGCATTTGTAATCTACATCTTTCTTTGTGTGTAAAGTTTCAACTTCTACTATATTGTTTTGAGAAGTTTTTTTTGGCAACTTTACTGCTAGGGCTACGTTGCTTTCTCTTGGGCTTTCAATGTGTGATTGCATGTTGAAAACGTAGAACCCAACCCAAATTCTTTATTTGGATGACTACCAATTTCAAATTTCCATTTTTTCCAACTCCTGATCTGGGTATTAATGCTTGGTGGCCACAACTCCAAATATTATGCAGAATTTTGATTTTTTTTATTTTTTACTTTGTCTTAATTTAACATAGTACATTGACTCTAGTATTCACATGATTAATTATCCCCATTTCATCAATAGAATTTTTAATACTTTCTATAAAATCTTTATCAAAGTATACAAATTATTTTAAACATTAAACAAAGTTAAACCTGATCAAATCCAGCTTTACCATTTCATTACAGAAACCGAATTTTCAGTAAAATAAAGTTATATATATATATATATATATATATGTGCGTGTGTGTGTGTGTGTGCAATTAATGTTGACTGTAAAATATACTTTGGTGTACAAAGTATTCACTTAATAGATATGTTTATTTAAATCTAAACCATCACTAGAAGTTTAAATGAAGTCCTTTTTGTGTATCAAAAACATATAATGACAAGTTATTGACCAATTTACAAGAACATTTTATAGACTTTTTGTCTTGTAGCATTGCTAGTTATTACATGTTAACAAATCAAGAATATATTTACAAAGTTTTAAGTTATTTACATACCGATTACATTTGCAAACCAAAGTAGCATTCAATATTGTACAAACATACACTGGGATCATGAACAACAAGTACACAATATGTAGATACTAACATTAGAAATATTAAAAATAATTTGAAGTTGAATTGCATACTCAACACATTAACATATACATTATTAGATTGGACATAAAAGTAAAGATATATCTTGAGAATATTGTATGTATGCAAATCCAAATCTAAATGTTCCAAAATAAAGTAAATTGTCTTCATTTATATAATTACATACTACAAACTTTCAGATATTGATATGATTCACAGGATAACATTCTTAAAATAACATATGAAGATTCAATGTACTTAAATAATATTTCATAAATTACTTTTATGTTGAAAAGCACACACTTTCTTAAAGAATTAGAACATTTCACAACAAAATAAATTTGAACTTATTATACATTTCCAAATGAATCTGAAAAAATATGCACAGGTTTATCAGTCTGAGCATATTTTTCAATTTTTAAAATAAGTAATTTCTAAAATTGTTTTGCTAAAAAGTTTATGAGGATGATTAAACTCGTCATTATATACACACCTAAATATATATATATATATATATATATATGTGTGTGTGTGTGTATGTGTTCATTCAACATTAAAGAAACAATATAAAAGTTTTCTTTAAGATTAAGAACACAAATTATCATAATTGATGCATTTAAAAAAACAAAAACGAAACAAATCACTACCGATTCAATTTTGTGAGTATCATCCAATGTACAACTTAATATGCCAAAAGCTATATATGCACACAACTACATTTATTGATTACACACCTAATTTACAACTTTTTTCAATGCAAAAGAAAAAAGAAAGGTTATATGTATTGATTCCATAAAGTTTTAAACACACATTACAGATAATGGTGTGATTGGGTGGCCAGATCCATGTGATTGGATAATACTTTTGGCAAACAAATAGGATATAATGAATCAATAACAAAGTGGGGGTAGAGGCAAAAGGCAAAAGTGAAGTTAGTTTAGAGGAGGGTTTAGTTGTTGTTCCAACCCAGGAGTTCTGCCCCTTCTAGAAGCTTGTGCTGGATGCAGTGGGAAGGCCTTGGGACCCAACAAAACTGTCTGGCAACTGTTTCTGAACCGCCAGGCACAAAGGCCCTGTTTTTAGGGTTCTAGCTTGCACTTGAGCAGACCCAGAGCGGCAAGGAAGCAAGCAAGCAGTGTGTGTTGATCCCATTCCAGGGCCACCCTTGCCTTGCCTCTTTGCAGCAGCAGGCAAGATTCAGCTGGAATTGCTCTCCTCCAGGACTGGATGCAGGTCAACTGGGGTCACCAATTCCAATGCGCAACTGCCCGCCTCCTCTCTCCCTTCCTTCCCACATGATGCAATGTCAGTCCTGAGACAGAAGAAGAAGCAGAATCTGCCACAGAACAGGCTTAGTCTGCTGCCTGGATCCACACAAATGTTTTTCCAAACTCCATGATTGGCACTTGTTGCTGTACCTCGACTGAGGGTAAGTGCAATTCCAGGGTCCCAAAATACTATTTGTCTATGGAGGCATGGAATGTCATGTGGCATGAAGAAAAATTGATGAACTGAAAGGTTGGCTATAGAGGTGTGATAACATACACACACACACACATGTATATATATATATATATATCTATATATACTCACACACAAATACACATGCACAAGCACACATGCAGAGCTTACAAGGATCATGAGTAGAATAAGCCCTACAGAGAGAGGGAGAGGCATGATGCCTGTATGTGTTTGGTTATTTTGTGAACTGGTTTGCCTGCCCCATGAATTACACCACTCTCTAACAAAAAAAGCAGCTGGCAGGGAGTGTGTATCAGAAATATAGTTCAAGGTTTTGTGAACTCTCCATTCACTTATACCAGTGTTTCAAGGCAGAAGTGTTTCCAATCATAATGCTCAAGTAACCCAGGGGTTGTGTTCAAGTTCACACATGCAGACTCAAAGAATAATTCACATTCTTTTGAATTTTATTTTTACATTTTGCGAGGGAAGAAGACAGGCGAGGTTTGCACAAGCACGGAGGGGTCTTACCTTTCACACTTTTGATGTGGTAATTGCAAGTGGAAGAAATGTGCCACCTAACCCTCTTCTTCTACTTATTCCTGCGCCGTAGAATTGAAAATGGGACGACAAGGAAAGATTCAAAGGAAACCTGCTGTTGAAATGCATCCAATGCGTGGTGTCGAAAACAGAGGTGGAATTTTAACCCTTGGCACAAATTCGGAAAGCATTTTCTCCAATCTTTGCATGCAGGGCTCCATGCTCACAATTGCAGTGACGGATGAATGGGGTGAAAAGTTTGTAGGACAGGGGGGCCTGACTCAACAAGTTTTGAAAAATAGGTTGTGGAGGGGCCGTTCGAATTACCCTACAGATTGCTTCATTTGCGTACATGATGTGTACAACATCTAACACGTAAAACTTGCAACCAAGAAGATTGCATGAACTTCATCTTTCGACAATTTGCATAATCTCGGAGCCAATAGATCATCAACACATATGGTGCGGCAAAATCGTCTCCCCCCTTGCAAGTTGCGGTAAGGAACGCTGCCACGCTGATGATTTGTCAGATTGGCAATGCTCGAGTGATGGTCGGTACTGGAAAACTTGGAAGTTAATTCTAAAGTAGTCACGCTAGCAAGCACCCTCGATAAACAGCAACATTGCGTTGGTGATAGCCAGTTGATAAATCGGGTGATGAGTTGGAGAGGTAGACGAATCCCTGCCGTTGAAAAATTAGGAGTAAACTTACAAAACGAAACAAAACACCAAATCAAAACCAAACTGGATTTAAAGGTCACATACAGCGAATAAAACCGAAGGAAACGCCGGAACTCAACTCGAGTACCTGTCCTGCCTGGGTCCTACTCTTGTTGAGAAACTATCAAACCAAAGCCAATGGTTGCCCTTGCAAGTGGGAAAAACCATCCAAACCCCGCTCTTAACAATTTTCTGATGTAAGACAATCACATCTTGCAAAGATCAATGAAAGTGAGTAGGATCTGAATCGTCCTGTTGCCTACATTTGCAGACATGCTGCAGCTTGGTGTTGAGCAGAGCAGCTCCGGACCTTCGGTTTAAAACCTCAAGTGCAGAGAACTTCGGTGGTGAAGTTGAAGAGCGGCTTGAGTCACAACATCTAGAAAGAGTGGCAGGCGGTGCTCTTCTGTTTGTGAGGTTAGGAGAATTGGCATCACAGTAGAGGCTCATGGAATACTGGTTTTAGCGAACACAAACTTCTTTCAGTCTCTACATCAACAAGATCGTGGCATGAAATTTTGGAATGGCCGATGGTTACATCGTTTGCACACAAGGTAGAATCCACAAATCGAACGACTGTAAAACTAAGATTTCTTGTTCATCAATTAATTAATGAACATTTTCTGCTTTTGATTCATCACAGTGGTGACTGTAGAAGTTCAAACCTGTGAATTAAACTGGGATCGATTATGGAATTTTCAAGGGAGGAAACCACCCCGCACAGTGAGAATACTTTGCAGAAACTGCGCAATTTCGACCCACTGCTCGTGTGTTGCCTCGGGAGTTCACGAGGACTTGTCTCATGTCCATGCCGAGGACATGGCCGAACTGTGAGAGACTTAAGCATCCTTTTTTGCTTTTTTTGAATCCTTGCCTGGTCGATGATCCCGATCGGAGACTCATTCAATCCTGACACTAAAATTGTTTTGCATGCTTGTCCAATCTCGGATATGTCGACAATGTCTGCTACCATTAGCTGGAACTTGGGCCAGCTGCTAAGCATGGACAACCGCATTCAGTGCTCCTACACAATAGCCAAGGGATCGAGCACAGTAGGTGCTTCGTCACATCCATAGCATCCCCGAATTATACGAGTTATCATTTCCGCCCCGTCGTCTTCCGGAACAGAGCAAACACTTGAGGAACATGCAGGTTCTGAACCAGTAATGGTCTGAGTGAGTGATCACAAAAGCACAAGTCTACCGATTCTTACTAGATGGGTGCTAATTCTGGAAAATTAGGACCTAGATTGACAGGTGAGGATTGAGAGGTTTGTCGAAGAGTCGACGCACTGTTGCTTTTTTGTGTAGAAACATGCGTTGGGAGAGAGCTACGTGACGCTGATAAGATCATTTTGAGCCCACGTTGCGGAGGTTCAAGTGCCCCTCACCCACCAAAAATAACTCCCAGAATCAAACAGAAGTGGCACTGCAGCACATCATTTTGACCCTTGGCCCGACACCATCTCCAGCAGAGCAGAGCCGCGCTGGTTTCACGATGAAGAAATCCAGCATCTGGGGTGGAATAGAAGAAGCTTTATCACTACTCTTCCCTTCTCTTCCACGACGAACCCTACATTCTTCGATCCAATCAGCAATTGTGGCGTCTTGGAACTCAATACATTATGTGAAATGATAGAGTATGAGAGGATTAGAATGAGAGATGATAGGAGCCCATGTCACGACATACTTCGGTGAGTCAGAAAGAACAAAAAAACAAAATAAATAAATCCTCATGGCAACCAACTTCATTCCATCATTGTTCAAAAATTGTTGTTTTTGGTTTTTTGTGTTCATTTATTTATTTTTATATAGTTTTTGGACATGATGGGGTGGACCCATTTGTTTGGACTAAATTTCATGAAACAAGCATCCTTAGTCTTAATATCTCTTAAAAGAAATAATGGACATAAGAGTATAAAATGTTACAAAAAAATTAGGTCTTTTGTTCAACTGCTTTTGTTCTTTGTTTGGTATTTGTTTGATGAAACTATTGCATTGGATTCTATTATGCTACATAACTTGATTTAATTGTTTATTGATTTTTGTTGATGTTTCTTGTTACAATATGCAATTGCATTATAACAATTTACACCCAACCAAACTATGTGTTTGTAATTTAAACTAGATAGTATTTTAGATTTCTTAATAAAACTCTAATATGTTTTTAGATATCCAAATTATCTACATGGATATTTCTTGAAGCAACTTTTATATCATTTAAAATCATTTAAATTGTACTATAATTTTTAAATTTTGAATTAGAATATTGTTGTTATTTATAAATGTCACATTCTAAACTTGTGACAAGTTGAAAAATAATTACAACTTCTATCAAGATAGGAATTTTTAGTCTACTAAGTAAATAAGTTTCAAGTCAATATACCAAGTAAATAAGATTCAAGTCACTATACCAAGTTTATAACATATGTATGCTCTCTAATTTGATTTTAGTAGAGGCAATATTTGAGATTGTTGACAAATGAATAGGTAGTCTATCTAGAAACAGTATATACAATTTTCAATATACTAATTATAAGCAATATAGCTTGAGCAAGTAGTATATATATATATATATTTATGTTTCATGCATTGTATTGATGCAAATAGAAAATACTATATGCCAACAAATATGGCAATTTTGATGTGAGTGATTAATTTTACCACACTAGCTTCAATAACTTGGTCATCTATGAAAGTAAACTTACATCAGACGATTATCTTTTGTAATAGAAAGAACCCCACTACTGTTCAATCTTGCATTCTAAAGAATACATTCAATCTTTGTACTGCAAAAGATATGTTTGTTCGACGCCATGTCTTTGTTACAGAAGCATTGGAGACGAGCTTCATGAATGGGTAGCCTTACAAGGAATCTAAATTATTTGATGTGTTTGCACGATGGCAGTTGGCTTTAGCAGTGGAAATGCTGTGGGAATTTGGAACTTGGTTGTCCTTTCACTTCATGTAGGCACCTCTTCATCACTCCTCTGGAATTTATTGCAAGCCCGGCAAGCAAAGCCGAATGCTGGAGAATAACTTTCACTGCCACAATGAAGGGAGAGAATCGACAGGTACTGTGCAATCAGCCGAGGGTGAATTGCCCGAATTTATCTACCCGATATTTAAATTCTTACACCCACAAACACAGACACACAAGCAAAAAAAACAAAAAACAAAAAACAAAACAAAACAAAACAAATAAACAAATAAACAAGCGCATGGGGCATAACTGATACGGTACAGCGAACCTTCGGTGGATTCCGAAATGCAAATGATATTACTGAGTTTCTTCCTGATCCCTGGATCTGACCCATTTTGCAGGAAATTCCAACGAGGCGAGAGGAGTGGACACGATGTTGCGAGATTCCGATCCTGGGCGTCAGGAGGTCAGAAATGGTCAGGTTCAAGGGCAACATTTTTAACCAGTTGGGATCATGTTAACAACATTATTAATAACAAGGAAAAATATCAAACATATTCCCGAAATATGTGGAAATATCAAATTTATCCCTTAATTTTTTGATAATTGCAAATGTACCCCTGAAATTTGTCATAATTGCAAACATGTCCCTGAATCTAATAACTTATCTCGACATTCCTGTTTTAGTTGTTTTTAGGGCCCAAATCGCGTACCGCGTAATTTTTGGCGCGGCTACTGTCGCCGCTGTAGCCCCCCTCTGCTACTGTCGCCGCTGGCACTGCATATTCAAGCTGCCCTAGTTCTGCCCGGCACATAGTAATCGTTTTCGATTCAGCTGACCCACAACTAGGAAGTGCACTGGATCGTTTTTGAATCAGCTGACCCACAACCAAGAAGTGCACTAAAGCCTCCCAATCATTAATGTTTTTAGCATGTTACTGATTCTGTTACCTTACTGATTTTGTTACCTTTGGAATAAGTCTCCAGAGCTAAAATACAAGTACGGTAATTCGTATCTCTCTGATCTATTTCAAAAGAAATTGCTGGCAACTTGATCACTGATTTCAAATTACCCTCTGGGTTTCATGTTTCTTCTGTTGTAGTGACGCTGCATGTAAATGTTATTCTCTCTCTCCATGTTGCGTGCCATCGCCTCAGCATCCTTCTCTAGCTTAGAAATCAAAGATGCAGTCTTTATTTCAGAATTTATTGTTTGAGCTCTTAATGCTGTCTAGCGTGCCATTGCCTCAGCGTCCTTCCCAAGTTCAAAAATAAAAAATGCAGTCATAGTAGAAAAGTTGTTATTGAAGATTCCCACCAAGTGTGGCGTCCTCATTGAAATTCTGTTTGTGAGCAGCGTGGGCTTTGGAAATGCTCAAATAGAATGCTTCGATGTGTGAGCAAAGATTTCATGTACAGTTTGAATACATCTTCAGGAGAAGATAATTTTTTCTTAATGTATCGATAATTAAGAACAAAATTATAAAAAATCTTTAGGGCAGCGTTGTGATGTTTTTTTTTGGAATGTTGAATTTTTTTTGTCTCATGGTATATGCTAAAGGAGCTATAAAGACCATAAAAGGGTTTTAAAATTCTAAACAGACATAATAGTGTGAAAACACAAGTTTAGCCCGCTAAAATTATGTTAGACCATAAAATTATTCACTACAACAGACACAAAAAAAAGTGCCTGTGATTGGAATTAATTGTGAAAAATGAAATAAAAATATCCTATGTTATAAAATTTGGAATGAAATTCATATCCAGAATTACAATTTGTTAACAATAAGAATTAATGAATATACACTATTTTAAGGAAATAGCACTATTTTTTATAAAAAGATTCTCAACATAATAATAAAGAACAATTTCTTTAATAAAAATTAGGAATACAACTAGCTTGTAGTTTATCAAATTTAAATTAAAGAAAAAAAAAAGAGAAAGAAATGAAAAGAAAAAACTTAGGCTTGATTTGTTATTAACAACTCTCACTCGTTTAAAGTCACAATTAATTTGATATCATGATAGTGTTCTATAATGCAAGACCATGTTTAAAAATGACTTACAACCAATCTATGACTAACTAACATGTAGGTAATAAGACTACCATAAAGTTTTATTTATTTATTTTTGTAACATTTTATAATTTGACATTAATACTTGTAAATCTACAATAGACATTTTTAAAGTTCTTAAAGCTAAAATATATAGCTAATTTTTTTTATACATAATATGTACAAATAATATTTTTGATTTATTAATAAATTCTTCATATACGAATTTATTAGTTTTGTCCATAGTCATGGTGTTTTAATTTTATTCATAATATTGTACAATATACTATTTAGAAGACTCAATCAATTATTAATTTTTACTAATATTTTATGCAATCCTTGTTATACAAATAGAATCCATTTTATTACCATTATCTAGAGTTAAAATTCAATTTAATTTTTTCTTTCAAACTTTGTGTTTAAATCTTTTACTATTATAGCATTTCTTAAACTATGCTTTGGTACAAATATTTAACAATTGCACAACAAATTACACACATGCAAAGAAACAAATATATTGCATAAATTGCTTGCTAAGCTTCAATAGTATGAAAGTAAGCAATGTAGCCAATAACAAATTGCGACATGAAAAACACAATATTAATTACATGCATACATGGGATTCCAAATAGCTCCTATTGTTTAGAAGTACATGTGCAATTTTGCAAATCAACAACATCATATAATTGCTCCAATATGTATTTTGAAGGTAGTATCATATATTATAATGATGGAATAGTCTTGTGCAAATATCTATAATCATTTAATTTGTTATTATGTACTAATTGATAATAGTCCAATAATTGTATTGTCAATGATATGTTTTTGATTGTATCATGCCATGAGCTATCAATGAATAGTTTCTAGCATTAGAATAAATGATATGTCACATGCTTCCAAGATCCAAAAATTCAAAGATTTCACAATATTTGAAGTCATATGGCCATATCAATTTTTATCAAACTATAACAATGCCCAATATTATAATTTAGTCCTTATTAAGTACTTTGTAGCTTCTTTAGATATAGCTTGCACTTCTAAAAGTTTGATGTTGAAATCTAAAACAATTGATGCCTAAGCTATTGCCTAGAGATATTATATAAGTATTAGATTCTTGAATTATTATTATAAGTTCTCAATTAAATGGCACATATAAAATATTTGTTTATATATTAAAAATATAAGGTTGACAATATTAATAAGAATTTTTTTTCAATTAGACAAAAATGTGAACTTTGAAAGTTTACAATTTTTTAGATAAGATGCAAGAATTGCTATCTTTAGCTTTTATAAGAACCACAACTAATTGTAGTTATTTTCAATATTAATAATACAGAAAGTAATAAGAAATAATTATTCTTCAATATAAATTGTTATAGTAGTAAAGACTATTCTATGGTATTTACCTTTTAAATGAGTGTTGTCTATACCAATGACAAGTTGATAATGTTGCAAGCCATGTAAGCTTGCATTGACAAATAATTAAAGAAAAGTGACAATTGATTGAAGAAAGCAATTTTTTTTGTCAACTTCTAATTTTGCATAACTTCCAAGATTTTTTGTCTTGATTTGATGACAATATGCTTTCAAATTGATATAGCTAGCTTCATAAGAACCAATTAGGTCAAAAAAATCTTTTTTTCTTCCATGCTATATTGTTAAGTATGATATTGTAATGCCTTCATT